GCAGGTGGGAAACAAGGAGGGCCTGCAGGGGTGGGGAGTGGGGAGGGGACCCCAGGGGAAAGGGTGACGTCCAGGCAGATGCTCCGGCCCCAGGGCCCCAGGGCTCAGACACAAAGCCTGGATCAAACGTGTGTCCCTGACTTCACTGACTCTCAGCCCTCAGTGAGTCTCAGGCTTGTGAGTCTCCTTTCCTCAACTGAGAGCTGTCAGGGTGTTTCTCAGGAGGCTGTGGGTGGTGAGCAGTTAGTGGAGGAAGGCGGTGGGGTCTCTGGCACGCAGTCTAGGTCACAGAAGGTTCTCGGTAAACACTGCAGACGCTGCTCCTCCTTGGCAGAGGCCTGGTTCAGTGACTTCCACGGGTTCTATTTCACATTTAAAAAAAAAAACCTCTCTGTTCGCTTGAAGAGCCACATCAAGGAGAAAAAGGACTTCCCTGGGATTTGGTTCACGGGAGCTTTGCTGATATGCTGACAGAGACTCTCTCTGTGACTCGACTCTGGCCTGGCGCTTCCAAGCCCCTCGGACACAAGCAGACATTTGTGCCTGGGGACGGTGCCCAGAAGGAGCTCATCACATACCCTCACTTTCTTTTTCAAATGTCATCATCCAATGGGTCACTGCTCTTCCCACAGGAAGGAGGGAGAGGTGGCAAAAGATTCCTCTGTGACCAAACTCCAGTCAGGGTCCTCCGAGGCCCCCTCTGCAGGAGGCCCAAGGCCTTCACCTAGGCCCCCAAAGACTTGAACAGAAACTAACACAGTTTCTTACAGCTCAAGGCTCCATCTCTGGGTGACCCCTGCTTCCCTCAAAGTGCCTGCCTGAGAAAACCCAAGGCTGCCCAAGGAGCTGACCTGGTTCCAGCAACACCTGAGGACAAGGCCCCGTCTCCCGGCCTCTGTGGAGGGGGCAGCTTGACTTCCACAGGGACCAGTCAGCAAACCAGATGGGGTCACATGGCCCAATGTCTCACCTCCCCGGCTCTACTGAGCCCCCATCACCTCCTCCCTGCTCCCGTCTCTTCCCTCTAAAGGCCCAGCCACCTCTGAGCCAGCTGAACTGAAGCTCAGTTCAATCTCCTACAAGGCAGCAGACACTGAAGAAAACCTGGTTTTGCCACTTTAGCTAATGTCAGGCTGTGTTTATCCTCCGCAACACAGACATAGGCTACATTCCTCGTTTTTAAAACTTTTTAAGACTTTATGTTAGTTCTCTCTCTCTTTTCTTTTTTAGTACTAATTATATCTAGCAAGTAATTCTACATGCTCTGATATATCTAACTTGTACTTGAATCTCAGAAGTCACTTTGTTTCTAAATACTCGGGGACACAGATCTTATCATTTTAGACGTATGGGTTAACCAAAATGGGATGACAAAAAATATCTGTTTAAGGAAATCATTCTCCACAGCATCTCAGAGCTGGTTGGGTTTTTAAATCAAATAGAAATATCTTAATATAAAACAAACAGCCTAGAGATATTTATAAAATCAAGGAAAAAAATCTTAAAGAGGAATTTCCAGCATGTGCAGCTTTTAATTATCTTCCCAAAGTAGTTCTATATTATAGACAATTGCAAAATAAAGGGAATAGAGTTTCTAAGAAAGTCCAGTTTCTAGAACTTTCTCTGGGTGCACTCTTTACAGTAGGAATTTTGAGGTAAGACAGGAGCTTGGCTCCTATGAGATATTCTGTTTCCTTTCATAATCTCCCAGCTACAGTGGTTTAGTAATGTGTTTTTTAAAGCTGTGGGTTACAACCCATTAGTGGGAAATGAAATTGATTTAGTAGGTAGCAACTAAATTTTTTAAAAAAATGAAATAGAATAAGACAGGACAGAACGGAACAGATCAGAGAGCAGCTTATTCAGGGAGCAGCTCTGGTTATGCTGTCTCTAAATCTTTTGCTGCAGTTAAACATGTGGGTGTGTGTACTGGGGGGTGATGCATTCTGACTGTCGACTGAGGACAACAAAGTTTAAGAACACCCCTAGGCAACGACAGGCTTGCTTATCAAACACACCAGCATTCTGAGCATTCTGCATCTGAGCTCCATTCATTCAGTGAATTAAATCAGCCAGTATTTACGGGCACTTGTGTTGGGTCTGACATGGTCCGTGTGCAGGGGGTCAGGTACCAGGCACTTGTCTTCTCTGTGTTAGGCAAGGAAGGGAGGACCCGTCTACACCCAGGAGAACTGCACTGGCATGTAATACGATCTGGGACAACAGGACTAGGTCACAGAGGACCCACTATCTTATCAACGTGTCCTGGTGTCAGCGCACCCTCCAGCAGCATTTGAAGGGGCAAGATGTCAGCACAATTAAAACAAAGCGACCAGAATACCGCCCAAGGTGCTTCAGAATGTCTCCCTCATGATCTCTGGCTGGCTTCTGGAAGGAACTGTGTTGATCTAGTAGACAACGGGTCACAGACGTGAAATGCTCAGAACTGCCCCACTGGCCATTCCCTCAGCCGCTCAACATGATGGGGAAGGTTTTGAAACTCGCTGTCTTTTTCTCACATTAGTTACAAAACTGCTGTCTCATCTTCACCACTAAATGACACGCATATCATTTTTTCATTCATAAGAGCAAGTGTGTATGTTGGTTCTGACGTCACAAATGCAAAAACGTCTGATGCCAAGAGCCTGGGCAACCGCACAAAGCAAACCTGTTCATGAGAGTTAGCACATCTTTACCTGCAACACAGAAGGTGCTGGATAAATGTCAGTCAGTGATTGAATGAGTGAGGTCTCAGGCCTGCAGTACGACTCATGAACACATCTATCAAACAAGACAGCGTTACTGTGCTCAGAGTGGATGGCTGATGCAGATGGAAAATACAAAAGAAATGTTACTGGAGCTTGGATTTATCTGGGTGAGATTAACGATCATTAGCAGCAGCAGTGAAAACTGAAAAAAAAAAGGATGAGTAGTTCTTTTTACTGGTTTTTAAGGCTTATTCTCACACTGCATCGTTTTAATCCCTTTTAAAACAAAGTAATGATCATCATCACCTGCCGCCCATAAAAGAACGGCAGCACAGGCACTGTGCTAGGTACGCGCAGTGCACCTGCAGCTGGGTATGCGTCCTTCTCAGACTAGCTGCAAAATAGCAAGGAAGCATGGATCTGAAAGCCTTGTGAAGGAGGCTACTTAGGAGGTATCTTCTCAATTTTTAGTTTTGAAAATTTGAAAGATTTTAGTTTTGAAAGTTTATAATTTAAAACTTTAAAAATAATTTAAAAATTCAAATTAAAAACTCTAGTTTAAAAGATTAAAAAATTTTTAAAAAGTTTTAGAACACTATATTCAGAAGCTGCATTTACTTTATTCCTAGTAAACTACGTGCTGAATTTGAAGGTAGCGGATTATAGGGAAAGTCTCAAAGGGGCTATCTATATTTCCCACCAGCACTCGTTCTATGATGGTGGGCAACCTATTTTTAATGTTTGCTGCCAAGACTGGTACCAGCTCAGATGTGACGGGGGTGGGGTGGGGGTCAGACCTGCTGAGGATCTCAGATTACCTTCCAGGTGGACACATAACCCTACAGGGAGCCGTGGACCAGGCCTGAGCTGCGGAGTTTTCTGAGGGGAGGACTTCCGTGAGAGGGACACTGTCTGTTTTCCAAGTACTTCTGCTGCTGGGAGGGACTCTTTGGAAGTTTGGGATAAGAGAGCGTCTGCAGCAAGCAGAAGCTCAGCCAGTGAAGCAAATATGCTCAAAAGAAGCTTAGAAGCAAGGGAAACAGACCTGGTAATGATACGTTTATAGCTTTTAGGCCCTGAAACAGAGGACTGAACTTATGTATGGAATTGCAGCAGAGAAAAAGTAAAATTCCTGTGTTTCTTTACCTTATAAAGAGTGGCCTATACTTTTCCTGAGTCTCAGTGGCTTTATTTTCCAAAACAATGAGCTCGCAGAAAAACTTAAACATTCATGAATTCTTCCTAGGAGCTGAACTTTGCTTTTCCTCTTAAATGTTAGGGTATGTTAATTTCATGCACACAGAACGACTGCTGAAGATCTGTGGGAAGCAGGCGTGTGTTTCTTCCTTGGGTTTCATCATCCCATCACTCCTGTGACCAACTACCACGTTGCTGACGTCCCTGAAAGCAGAATCTGAGTCCTGCCCAGGTAACTGTGCTAGAAATCTAGACGGTGGCAGGACCAAACTTGGTCCCCTGGCTTCCCTCCACCCACTCATCTTGGATCTGGAGTGATGGGACTGGATGTTTTTCTGTGTGAGTCTATACACTTGTCCATACACACCTTTAGTGGTGGTACCAGTGGACAAGCTAATTTCTTAGTGTAAAGGAGCACACAGCTCAATTCCATGACTCTAAGCCATTCAGTTTTTTTTTTTAAAACTTCCCTAAATTATGCAGTGCATTTGACTTGCATATGTGCCTCTGCTTTTTATAAACAGTTTCTTTGAAACAAGGATCTATAAGGAATGCAATCAGCTCGATTCCAGCTGTATGTTCACGAAAAGCTGTTTGTACACCGTCACCCCAAACAGCTTTGGGTGGCTTCACTTAGGAACACTGGTGATGAGGCTGTGTATTGCTAAATATGGGTGCAAGCGGGACCCTATGAGGTGGAAAGAAAGCTCTCTCACCCTCTAATCGCAATGCCTTTCTAGCTTCATCTTGATAACTGGGAAGACAGCTTTACGTGTGGAGACTGACATCCTGTCCGATGGCACTGCTGGGGCAAGCCCGGCGTATTTCACTCCATATAACATTCGGCAAAAAAGGAACATACCAACAGACAAACATACAATGAGGTCATGCAGTGGGTCTGTGCTCGATGCATGGATGTAAATGTGCACACGGAAGAGGCCAAGCACACCACTTAACGCGGGCACAGGTCTGGACCAAGAGTCGGAGACACTGTCAACAAGCCTTAAGCGAAGGAGGAGATGCAGAGGGGAAACGAAGCTGAGAAAAATGAGCGGGAGATGGGCAAGATGACTCGTCTGTACTTGAACGTCTGACCTGTCCGCTGGTCGTCGCCTGCAGCAGGGGCGATGCCAACATGAGGAGTCGTAAGCTGAGTCACGATTATCGCAGCTACGGCAAAGGAAGGTTCCCAGGTCAGCACGCATGAGGGAAGAGAAAGCCAGACTGAAGCCAGGCTAGCAAGGAGGATCTCCATCAGCATATCCCATCGTCTCCACTTTCGTCCAACAACAACAAAAAGAGAAGGAAAAAGAAAAAAAGAAAAAAAAAAAAAACCCCACAGCAAGCTGTTGAACTTTGCGAATTTGTTTCCCTAAAGAGGCAGGCAGTTAGATTTCTAACTATGACACCGTTGCAAGTTTTGGCTGAGATTTTGGATAGACTGACTAACATTAAAAAAAAAAAAAGAAAGAAAGAAAGAAAGAAAAGAAAAGAAAAAAAGGAAAAACAAAAAACATTAGTTCTCAGTAAAGATCTAAACTGAACAGTGTTTCCAACTGCTGTTGAGTGGAGCATAGATTCATTGCTAATTATGATGATCCAAACTTGAGGCTTTCAAAACGCATTAGGTTATTTAAAATTCTGCTAAATCACAATCTTTTTCTCTTCTTGCTAGAATCAACTTTGTAAAAAAATGTTATCTTCTCTCACTAAAAACATTTTTACTTAGAGAAAGTTCTCTGATAACTAAATTTCATGTAGAGCATTTCCATTTAGGGACTTTATTTTGTCACATTCGGGGAATGAAAAAAAAAAACGCATCTCAAAACATCCGTTAAAAAAAATGAAGGCTGATCATTGCCTTGGCTACAGTTGTCATGGTTAACATGTGACCAAAGAAATGATTAAGATTCTTGAAGCCGACCAGGCAAGCTTCTTGGTTTGCCTACACAGCTCAGCAGTTGTGTTTAAATGGTTAACATTTATGACACACAAATATTGAAAAAAAAGAGAGAAAATTAAAACGTCATTTCTAACATGATGCAGCTGGAAAATGATGCAAAGAAAAAATATTGGAAAATTAAGAACAGGCTTACATGAAAAATTACTAATTTACATGGAACAGCCTGGGTGCTATTAGAAATGTGGCAACGAGTAAGGAAAATAGATCATCTACCATCTGCAGACAATTAAACCCAAAACTGCTGCTGCATAATATTTTGAAATATCCCTCTGCTCCGTTCAAACAGTGCTGTTCCTCGGAACCAGACAACAGAAGCAACTGGGTTTCAAAGTGGTATAATCGTCTTTCACACGTTATTAATGAAAACTTCCTAGTCTTGCTCAGTGAGATGAACAAACTAACAGTCTGGTTGGAGAATGGAGAACTCCCAAGGAATTGCAAAGATAATTTTCTTGGTATGACACAGTATGCAATTTTGCATACTGATGTAATAAATTGTAAACAGTAAAATGCTATTTCTAAGACTTGTGACAAAGTTGGTACCAATTTCAAGCTGATGCACGGAACACTTGCTTGGTCACAGACGACTATTATTCAACCAGCACTCGTGCACTGTTTTCCATTATTTACAGGAAAATCTGACCTATTCTACTTCTGAGAAAAATTATATCATCTTTTATCAAAACAGAGCATCTATCCAATATTGTATAAGGTGAACGATCTGAACAAAAAGTCCCTTGGGAAGAGCTGTGTCAGGGAGCCAGGCACTCACAGCTGAAAGGCTCAGAACTTGAGTGGAAAAGCACACTTACAGACATCAGGGAGGGTTCCTATGGGGTCTCTCTGTTCTGCCTTGTAAACTGTCCCTTTGTGACTGTTACTCTTTGTTACGAGGAAAAAAACGTAATTTCATTACAAATCACCTTAGAAGAGGGGTCAGCCAACCCACTGCTTGCTTTTGCAAATAAAGTTTTTTTTTAATGTTTACAAAATATTGGATTTATTTAGGTAGAATGTCCATTTTTTCTTCTTAGAGCGCCTAAATTTTATGTATGTATGTATGTATGTATGTATGTACTTAAACACCTTTATTGTGGTAATGGTTCTTGTACAGTAAACTACACATATTTCAGATGTATGTTTTGATGAATTTTGACAGATGTACACACCAATGAAACCACCACCACAATCAAGACAGCTAACGTTCCCATTACTCCCCAATAGTGCAAATAAAGTTTTATTGGCACGTGGACATGTTTGTTTGTTCACATGTGGTTGATGGTTGCTCTTGCTTATTAAGGGCAGGGCTGAGGGGCCATCCTGACGGCTCAGGAAGCCTAAAGTATCTCCTGTCTGCCCTTTACAGAAAAACCTGCTGCTCTCTGTCAGCAAGGATCAATAGGAATAAACTCAGGGTCTCCTTTAGCACAGAGGTGCGCTCAGGAGAGCGACACACAGCAGTGTGTCCAGCCCCCAGGTGTCACTTCAGTTACACGCGGTGGGCTTCTGGAATCTGTGAACCAGTGCTTACTAAACGGGGTTTCAGAGGACTCGAGCCTTCCTTGAAAAATGAGTTTGGGTCAAATAAATTTAGAAAACGCCAGGCTGGACAAAGTTGACCAGGTTGCTTTCCCCAGGAGCTTCTCAGGGAACTTCATGCCCTCATGATATATGCTAGGAAGACTTCAGATCAAGAAAAGGAAATCTTTTCTCTACAAAATGCAGAGCGGCAAATGCATATCGTATTTGTGTTTCTATTTCTAAATCCACAGCTAAATGATGGCAGATTAGCATATAGGAGCAGTCTTACTATGTAATTTGTTTTCTCGGGTACTGAATATGAGTAATTGAAAGGAATCTTAATTAGCTTGACATCTCCACAGACATTCTTCTCAGCTCTTTTATCAGTGCACTTTCATTCTGTAGCACTGTGGCTTAGAAAGGATGGCACTGCTTTGAACAAAACAGTGAACAGAAAAACAGTCTAGAGAAACCTCTCAAAGAGCCTAGCGATTAAAAAAAGAAACATTCCCATTTCTGAATATAGTTAGAAACTGTATTGAAACAATAGAAATCCTTCAAAGTTTCCTGAAGGTCTTCCAGCAAAGCACACTGCAATACAAATGTAAGTTAAACAAAAGACTACACTTAAAACAGGGGAGCGTTTGTGCACAGAAAATTCACCTTAAAATATGACATTAGAATAATGGTTTCGTTTTTTTGTTGTTGTTGTTTACACTTTAGCATCTGACTAGTATAATACTTTGGGGAAGAATTTAGCATGTGCTTTCATGTAGTTTTTGTTTTGATTTCTAGCTAGATTGCTGTCAGCCAAATCATACCAAAGACAAGTGAATTCATATGACGCCCTGCCCCAACACACTAAACACAGAGACAAACAAAAAACTCCCAAACTTTTACAAACTCAGAATCCTCAAAACTTAAAAGGTGATGTGTTTATGCATCTACACCTAAAAGTCTCCCAGATTACGCTACGCCTCACACAGGTGGCACTCAAATAATTTTTAAAATAAATGTATTTCACAAAAGAGCTCCCAAATGTTTATACTGTCAAGGAGAAACATAGCTGGCATCACGTGATGGAAAAATTATTTTATGAGAGATTAATGCAAAGTATACAGTTTAAACTGGTTGTATTAATTTTGAACCTCATTTAATACAAGAAACCTAATTTGCTAATAAGACCGCTTTCTCCTTTTCAGTATCTCCTGTCAGTTTAGAACTGATCAACAAAGTCTTCCAAAGCTAGCACAAAAGAGGTTCAACCCTACTAGTCACCGACAAGCAGTCACGGGGGATGTAAAAGCCAGAGAAAACACATACACTGATTGCTAAGTCCCAGGTGGATCAAGGCGTCTTAAAAAGAATTCAACTATCAAAATCCGAATGCGATTCAGAATCAAAATCGAAATTAGGAGAATCTAAGAAAAACTAAGAGCTATTCTATGCACTCCACCATAAAGGTGAAAAAGAACCCTATGAATTGGGAGGGTGACCCCAAACATCATGCATATTCTGTCACCGTATGGTGTGTTTTTAACTCGAGATAGAATATTCTATGATGAATTTGCCTTTAGCTAACCATCAAAATACAGTCAGAGATACGTACGAGGAATCTAGACACGTAAACTACAGGAGGAAACATGAAAATACAGGCAGTCCCTTGACATATGGAGATACGTCATAACACACCTTAGATTTTTTTCCGGTGTTTAATTTTATATGAGGCTTTATATTTGAGATGATTAGTGTGAAAATGTACACTTGTAATATTACTAAAATAATCACAACATTAAGTTCGTAACTAGCATGAACTATATCTTTAAGAGACGTATCTGTGTTTGAAATTATAAATTAGATTCTTCTGAAAAAAAAAAAACCCTTCATGCTTTCTCTAAAAGACACTTGTCAACAGTTGTTTCATGAACACACTGAAATCTTTGTAAATTCAGAATGCTGCTTAGGAATGTGGTTTAGTAGCTGAAAATTCAATCAAGACACCACGCTGTCAGCAAGACACGCATGGCAAAAAACTCAGGATGTTTTAACTCTTGTAAATTTCAAACATCTTTCCTATATGGTGCCAGTCAAGTTATCAGACCTGCCTGTTTCTCTGTTTTGACTACGGAGTCAGGATGGAAGGGCTTCCTGCATGGCAAACTAATTTTCAGTATGAACTGTAAAATTATCTAATTATAAAGAGGGTAAAACATTAGACAGTGCTATAAAGGGAGGTTGCTGAGTCCGTATTTGTAGAAATTGATGAAATAAAATAGTACTAACTAGTGTCATTTCACCTGGAAAGAGACTATCTCCCTCCCAAGGCTATGATTTTATGAGCAGAAAGATGACAGGATGCAATGAATATTAAAATTTGTTTCTCTCTTTCCCCTGCAAAAAGGCTATTTGGTTGGATAGCGTTTGTGGCTGTGTAAATGTCTGCAAATGACTCAGAAAATATAAGCGGGAATAGTCAATCAGGTCATCTGATTGCCTAATCAGCCTTTGGTGAATTGGAAAACAAATCACAATATTGATTAAATCAGGCTGATGGAAGAAAATGATCCAAATCACCATCTAATTCAATCTATTGTGAAAACAGCCAACGTCAGGTTTCCATATTTACTAGTGTGTAATTATTTAACTATGCAAATGAGTAGGATGACAGTTTGTTGTTTTCAGAGCAAACTGGGCAGTGACTCAGCTCTAATAAAAAGGAGGCTAGACACTTATCCAGTGCAATATACAACTGGTTCTGCTGGGTGAAGAGACGTGAGATAGAGTGAAGCACTCTGACCCACTGGTTATTATCTGAGTGACCTTGGCAAGTCAATTCATCTTCCCGGTATGCATTTTCTTCATCTTAAAAATAAAAATAGCAATGCCTGTCTCCTTTCTGACAGTACTGTTGAAGAAATAAATGAGAACATGCATATGAAAGTGATTTTAACTTTCAGCTGTGGTGTTCAACACGAGGCATTATAAATTAGGCACACTGGAACTGGCTTTACTTCTTGAGACCTCAAAGGTAAGCAGAATTCAGTAAAGCAATCTGAGTGTGGGTGATGATCTGGAGGTCTTAAGTTACATCGATACCTCATTCAAAGGCCTTAGAATACTGTAATCATTAATAGTTAATAGCGAATTACAGTTTAGAAAACACATCAGTATCTGAAATTTCATTTTTTACTAATTTATTTTTTATAAACTAAAGGCTCATAATCAGGTACAATATGACATCAAGAACTGAGTGTTTTAAAATCAATGTCCAGAGATTCTTGCAACCAGAGCTATGAGCCCGTAAGGACAAACAAACTACAAATGAGGTGCGTCCCTTCCACAAGGCCTGGCATACAACAGGAAACCAAGAGATGTTTGTTAAGTTAACTGAATAAAAAGGTCAGGTGTCTTCAGGAAATAAGAATTCAGTGAGAATTTGGAAAATGCAGGTGGGTACGTGCAATAAATTCAAACTATGTTGCCTGAACGTTAAGCAGCAAAAACAAGATATTTTCATCCAACAGAACTCATCAAGGGACTACCCTGAACTGATTAAATCTGGTGCTCTAAGCATTTTTCCCATCTTTTCTGAATTAAATCTCACGGCACTTTCTCCTAGTGCTCAGGGTTACTCTAATGGTCTGAAAAAAAAGTAGTTAGCGGCAAGTGTTAATTTATAATGCCTCGTTTTAATGCAGCGTTGTATATTTCTCACACACTTCCACAAGTGATGGTTAAAACCACACTGGAAGGCAGACAGATCCATTACAGTTTGTATACACACACACACGCACACGCGCGCGGCTGCTCTCTTCCTTAGGAGGCCCTGTGTGGTGAGCTGACAGTGGTTCACCCTCCATCTCGGCCTCAATCACATTTTCTCAGGATTTTATCCAGGCCTGGGAAACAGAAGTTCTGCAATAACATCACCTGGCTCCTGGGTTCAGAGACTCGCCTCACCAGTGAAAACAAGCCCACGCAACGCCACTGTATAGAGCTTTCCTAACTAGACAACTGCATTGAAACAGCAGGATGTATTTTACTATTTTGCTTATGAAGACTCACTGGACACAGTATCGGAACGTATGGTATCATGGTTTAAAACTCGCATATGAGGTCATAGAAAAATTAATTTTAATAGAATTTTAAAAGAGATAACCACTGAAAACTGCTTTGAAACCCAGCATGATGACCTCTTATCTGGAAAAAAGATCTACGTGAAACACAGTTTCACTGCCGTATGACCCCAGCACATCGCCATGAGCACACACGCAGCCACATGCTTGCTTCAATGATGCTAATGTTTCAAGAAGTTTTGAAACACCATCTAAAATATTAAAGGACATAAACTAGGAGAGCATCCCACAATTTCAACCTACCTTTTGTGGCCACTCGAACACAGTCTATTTTGGTTTCCTGTGTTAAATAAAGAGGGGAAAAAAATCACTATTCATGTTTTAAATGTAAGACAAACAAAATCTCTGTAGTTCTCTTTAGATACGAAGAGGTCTCATTGTTCCAGGAGTGGCATTAACCACACAGTGCTCACTCCCTGAACCTCGTTCTGATACATTTTCTGGCTCCAGTGCCAGTGGTGGTGGTGGTGGTGGTGGTGGTGATGGTGATAAGGGTGGTAATGGTGGTGCTGGTGGAGGTAATGGTGGTGGTGGTGGCGGTGATGGTAGTAGTGATGGTGGTGGTGATGGTGGTGGTGGCGATGGCGGTGGTTGTGATTGTGGTGGTGGTGGTGATGGTGGTGATGGTGGAGGTAATGGTGGTGGTGGTGGTGGTGATGGCAGTGGTTGTGATTGTGGTGATGGTGGTGATGGTGATGGTGGTGAGGGTGGTAATGGTGGTGGTGGTGGTAATGGTGGTGGTGGTGGCGGTGATGGTAGTAGTGATGGTGGTGGTGATGGTGGTAGTGGCGGTGGTGATGGTGGTGATGGTGGTAATGGTGGTGGTGGTGACAGTTGTGATGGTGGTGGCGGTGGTAATGGTGGTGGTGGCGGTGGTGATGGTGGTGGTAGTGATGGTGGTGATGATGGTGGTGGCAGTGGTGGTTGTGATGGTGGTGGCGGTGGTGATGGTGGTGGTGCGTACCTGGGGAGCAGATGGTGAGGTTAGAGCTCTACATGAAATGTCTCTGCCCAGTGGCCTCTGCCTTCCCTCTGCAGACCCTTACTCTCTCCTTGTGCAAACACTCCTGGGGAAGAATCATGTCCCTAGTTTCCCCCTTCTCACTGGCAAAAGTCAGTGATGGTGCCCAGACCTGCACTGTGAAGGAGGGAAACCACTGCAGTATCTGGAAACCTTGCCCTTCTTTCTAAGGAGACTTCCATATCTCATCAGGGTTCTGGTTTGGTCTGAACAGGAAAGGGGAAAAAGTTCAAAAACAACTTGATAGTTATTATTTTGTTCCCATTTAATCTTTCTAAAGCTGTTTTCTTTTAGGGAAAAAAAAACAGATAACTAATTTAGTCCCTGCTATAGGAAGCATGAACTCTTGTGGAATCAAAGAAATGGGACAGAATATGCTGAAAAGACAGAAGTTGTGAATCTCACAAAACTTTAAATGAGCTGAACGTATGTGTGGTAGCTATGCTAATTTCCTGTAAAATAGAAAGCTAAGCAGAATTACTGGCCAACTTTCAGTAACAAGTAAAAACGGAAAATAAAAACCATCATGTTGACAATACAGTCTTTCTACCAAAACAAATACAAATAGATCCATTTCTTCCCATAAATTTCTCCAGGTGAGAATAATTTTAAAAAGAGAGAATGAAACACATTTATTCCAAGGAAAAATACACAAAAGCATGACCACCTTATGTAATCTGACTGTGTTCATATTCATAACCCTGAACTTGGCCTTAATAAACAAGCTGTTTGTAAAACTTACCCCGTTGGCTCTACTGGCAGCTTGGAAATAAATTCTGTAGCTTTTATGGGGAAGGAGCGGAGTGTTCCAGTATCCATTGTATGTCTTATTATCACCAATGGTGAAAGGCTGAGCAGCCTGGAGGCTGTTGGCCGGGAATTCTGCAGCGAAATAGTACTGGGAATTCAGGATGGAAGCATTCTGGAAGTGGATTGGTACTGGGTAGCATTTTAAGATTTCTGTCGTCTTTTTTGTTCTTCGAGGGCGTTCCTCCTCAACAACTATTTGGTAGACACTAGAAAAAAGAGAGTATTATCAGTGATACTTCACGATGATGGAGCCAATCCCCTTTGGGATCCACAGGAAACCCCAAGTAAAGAAGATACTGGATATCGTCCACAATGTTAACCATTTACAGTAGCCAAGACATGGAAGCAACCCAAATGCCTACTGACAGACAACTGGATAAAGACGATGTGGTGTATTTACACAATGGAATACTACTCAGTCATAAAAAAGAATAAAATAATGCCATTTACAGCAACATGGATGGACCTAGAGATTGTCATTCTAAGTGAAGTAAGCCAGAAAGAGAAAAAAAATACCATATGATATCACTTATATGTGGAATCTAAAAAAAAAGATTAAATGAACTTATTTATAAAACAGAAACAGACTCACAGACATACAGAATAAACTTATGGTTTCCAGGGAGGAAAAGGGGTGGGAAGGGATAACTTGGGAGTTTGAGATTTGCAGATACTAACTACTACATATAAAATAGATAAACAAGTTTCTACTATACAGCACAGGGAACTATTTCAATATCGTATAGTAACTTATAATGAAAAGGAATATGAAAAAGAATACATGTATGTATATGTGTGACTGAAACATGATGCTGTACACCAGAAATTGACACAACATTGTAAACTGATTTTACTTCAGTAGAAAAAGAATGCAAAAATAAAAAAACAAGTAACAAGTACATATAGATGAGGCCACTTGCTCAATGGAAGAGAGGGAAAGCGCTTCAGCTAAAAAAAAAAACCTTTTTCTATAACACTCTCTGCTGTTTATGTGAGCAGGACACCAAGATAGTGTTCTTCCTCCATGTCACTGAAAAGGAATTTGTCAATGATTACCTCAGCTTACCTAATAAATGAAGTTAGGTTAACTGCAGTTTATAAAAAAGGCAATGTAATATTTTCTTCAGGGACATCCGTTATGAACCCACATGAAGTCTTATCAAGTCACGAGACACAGTGTGTGATGATTCAGATTAATCAAGGCTTAACTTCCCATAGTTTCTTGTATTCCTTTGCCTTTTACCATATTTGGTCAGTGGAAAGAGATGATGTTAAAAAAAAGCAGAGAAAAAGGACTGGAATGTCAAATCAAAGGCCCTGGAGTTACAAGTAGTTTCTAAGACTTAGTCATGAACAGGTTATCTGAATTGCACACAAATATACAATGGGAATGAGTAACCTCTGAAGATGTCTGCAAGGACAAATGTCCCCGCGGAGGGGTGGATTTCCTGGTGCTGATCCATCTTTCCCTCCCAACCCCTTCCAGCATCTGAGATTTTTGAGTTAACCTTAGGAGAATGGGAGAAACCTTGAAGGGATGGACTTTTGAAGTGAGATATATACATTTACCAGAATGATGAACTTTTGTGCAGTTTTGTTGGAAAAAGGTTTCTAATACTGAGAAAAACTCAACCTTGAAAACAGCTTTCAGAAACTGAACCCAGGTTAGATTGCGGGTCCTTCTGGTGAGGAGACAGGTCTTTTCCTTACCTTATCAGAAAAGCACTGAGCAGGAGCAGTGCCGACTGCTTGACCGCTCAGTACGGGCACTCATTCATGCCAGGAAAACAGAGTAGAAGGGAGATGTCTCCCATCCCCACCTGCTGGGGAAAGCGAGAGGTCCCTCTTTGCGCTCCTGTCCCTCTGAATTCTGAACATGCACCAGTGAATCTCCCGTTTCCGGGAGTACAACGTTGCACACTCTGTTACACCTGTGCAGTGCAGCTGTCATTCAGCTTGTAATTCTGTCTGAGTAACAATCAGCTGTTGTGGGTCATCAGAATGACTGCTCAGGAGACAGGCAGTCCAGCAGGTTCACCGTGTAATGGTAAAGGGACTTCTGAGTCGTGATGTAAAACTTAAAACAAAACAAAAAAAGAACAGGAATTTGACTCTTACTCCCTAACATCAGAGACTCTCTATTGGTTGTGGAAGATGCTCCAAGTCTGGCAGAATTCTTCCTGCACAGCAGATCCGACATAGAAGGAAGAGTTTAGGAAGAATCTTCCTATAATAAGGGGGGGGGGGCAAGGGACCCAGACAGAGACAGAGTGGACTTTGATTTCATGCCCTCTTCTCCCTGACTTCTTACATCTAGAGTCAGGCATGGCGATTAAAATAAAGCTGCAAGTTCTTTGACATCTCTCCCACCAAGAATGGGGTTGGCTAACCTTAATGACTGCAGGTAACCAACAGAAGGTAACAGAGGGACAATGGGCAACTCAAGACTTCGGTCAGAGAGGGTGGTGCATCTCCAGCCTGGTTCCCCCCAGCTCTGCAAGAAGCCGGCCACTGTGGTCCCACCAACCTGCACTGGCCTGAACTCAGCCCTGAAGAGCTTCAAGCTGACACTCTGTAACCCTGACAGCCATGCCTGGGGCCGTCCTGGAAGGTCACGCAGCCAAGCCTTCGGGTGACGGCAGCCCTTAGAGACCCCACACAGGAGCCCCAGTGGCCCACCAAGACACGGTCAAACAGAAAGTGAAACTCTGCTAAGTTTTGGAGTGGTTGGGTAGGCAGCAAATATTAACCAGAATACCAGGTCATGGAATAGCAAGAACAAAGGGTCAAAGTCAAAGTCAAAGACTGGCACAACTGCTGAGGACAGATAACCCCATGGAGAAGGCTGTCCCGCCACGCCAAGAATTATCAACAGCCTCAAGAAAGTGTAACTGTTCCCATGCAATGCCTTCTCGGGGGAAGGAGGTACCAAGGGGGAGGGGGACCTCCTTCTAAGCTTGACTCCCAACTCCTAAAATGGGGGTTTTAAGTCAATGTCTTTCAGTCTTTTTTTTTTCCTATGAAATGAGAGAATAAGATGGTTCTCTAAGGGATATTTTATATTTCTTTTATTCAGAATTTTTATCCAGTAGACAAGAACCATTCTCACAAAACAGATAAATCAAAGAATAATTCACTGCTTTGCAAAGAGAATCCCCATTAAATAAAATGATTTTTAACACTAGCTGTCTTTGATCAGCAAGCTCTTCTAATTTATTTGCTATATGACATGATTTTCCAAATTTCACTTTAAAAACAGTATCTGGAAAACTCATTCTATAAGACAAAGTAGAAACATTAAGATTTACGTGAAGAAAAAAAAATTTCAGAAATTACTCCACACAGGAAGTGTGAGGCCAGCTGCCTTGCACGTGTAGGTTTCATTTTCTCATTTTACTGATGAGAAAGCTGAAGTTCAGAGGTGAAGTGCCCATTCTTTTCGGGGCACACAGTAATTAGACAGCACACGGGGTCTCCTGACCATCAGTTGACACCGTCCAAGCAGCACTTGTTGAAAAGTCCTGGTTAAGGCACTCCTGCAATACTGCCCCCCGGGCATCTTCACTTGCTCAGGTTGACATAACCCACACACACACCAGATCCCGTGATCAATATATCTTGAGTGTCATGTAGCAACTCTTTCTCACTTATCCCATCAAGGGAGCTATAGACTGTAACCATGCCTCTGACCTCAGTTCCTTCTCTGTCTATGTCATGGCTGATTTCCAGGGAGCACACTCTCCTGGATTCTGCAGCGACACCAGCATCTGACACAGTGATCACCTGTTTCTCAACTCGATTCTCACTCCACTAGATGAAAGATCAGCACAGCCACTCAGAGAGCTTGAATTCTCCTGCCACAAACACCCTCTCCTCTATGCCTTCACCCTGGTCTGGTCCTGAGGTTGTTACCTAAATGCATCTTCCCAGCACCTGAAATCTTCTGTCACTCTCAGCAGGTGACCCTACCTTGTAAAAAGACCGGGACCCTCTCATGAACGCTCTCTTGGGGGCTTACCATCTGTCCCCCCATTTGACGTTCTCTCACTCTGCTCCAAACTCACAAAAACACATTTGCTGTGAAGACTTGGAGTCATCTGATCGCTAATTTTAAGTCTTGTTTGGTCCTGGAGAAGGACGAGCGTGATTTAGTCATTTCTGCATCTTATGTCACCTAGAATGAAGCAGACCATGAAGTCCTATTTCTGGAAGCACAGCATCGTCCTGAAGTAATTTCTAGTTTAGATACTTTATACGCAGTAGTGGGGAGGAAATACACTAATACTCATTAACATGCTTTGCTTTACTAAAATGCCATCCTAAGTTTACTCTGTATTCATTTCCTGACCACCCAAGAGCTAACAGAGGAGGAAACGACCAAGAAACAGGTCCTGTGACAAGAGTGCTGGTGAGATGGCAAGTTCACCCAGAATAACCCACAAGCAAGCATGAACTGGAGGGACTCAGAAGCCGCATCCTACCCCGCTTCTCTCATCTCCATCTCTCACACTTTCCATCCATCTTCCCCTCCCCCCCAACTTTGCTAGTTTTTCCCAACTATACTCAGTTATTAACTCAGTAAGTCTTTTTTCAGTGCCTAGTCCGTGCCAGGGGCTGTCCTGCTTTACCTTGAAAAGTATGATATTTGAACATCTGATATTCGATACTCGGAGGAAGAAAATTTTGCTTTGTAATTTAAATGCCATCTAAGTGAATATGGAGGAAAACAATCCATTTTTCCCAAGCACCAGTTTTATGAGGATCAGCTGAAAATTGGAGAATGAAATGATTATTTAATGGGCCCCCCTTTCAGCCAGCTGGTATGTCCTACCATATACTCTGCTCCAGATACATTACTTTTTAAATGGCTACCATCGACTCATCTTCAGATACATTAAGGGAAGAACTAAGTTGACCAGAGCAATTTCAAACCCAAAATGTCTTTTCATCCTTGCTCCACAAGACAAATTAGATTTGCAAGCATCCAGGCCTCAAATCTATTTGCTCTTTAATAATTGAAGCACAGAAAGGTCAAGCAGCTCTTTTCTATTCCTTTCTATCAAAGCCCAAGTGCTAATGAAAAATGGCCGAATCCTATCTGCTGCCCAGTTGCCAAAGGGTATTGCCTCCCTGATGGAAATGAGCACATTATTGGCATCCAGGTCAACAGGCCCGCGACAGAACTTTACGACTAATGTGCTTCTCA